TCAGTTGTGAATCGTTTGTAAACCGTTTTTCATTCATAAACACCTGGGGTGTTTGACGGGTGCATGGAATCACTTTTGGGTGTTTGTTTGGAGGACGGGCTGTTCACTGAAGAATGTTGTTCGAACCACAACGCAGTAAATGCTTCACCCACGTACTACAAATACAAATAATCGCCAACAGAACCTAAACACCTAACCTAACCTATTTATACACAATATGCTAATATATTATAATATTAATTTATACTTGAGAAAATTCCCGTTTTGAATGAATAGCATATTAAAATATATGAATGCGTCTGTGGGGTTGACCGCTGAATGTAATGGACTTGAGTCGAGGACGGGTTGAAATAATCGCCAACAGAACCTAAACACCTAACCTAACCTAACCTAACCTAACCTAACCTAACCTATGCCTATATATGCACAAATATGCTAATAATTATAATATTAATTTATATTTGAGAAAATTCCTGTTTTGAATGAACAGCATGTAAAAAGTTATGAATGCGCTTGTGGGGTTGACCGCTGGATGTAATGGGCTTGAGTCGAGGACGGGTTGGGCCCAAATTAGAATATACGTTTTGTAAAATATTTTTGTCTCATATGTGAACAACTTATACAGGATGGCACGTGGGCGGAGTGCGCGGGGCGGGCCAGGGAAGGGCGGTGACGGGGCGCCGCCCACGCCCAAGAGTGTCGTCCTGCCCCGAGGACGACAGGGACGAGGACGAGGGATGGAAGACACCGCCGCACCGTCCAACCGTCTTCCTCAGGTAAGTGTTCATTCCAGTGTTCCACCAACAGTATCTCCTGTTGTCACAGCATCAAGGTCTCTGGTGCCGTGACGGGACTCATCGTCATCTTGGTCTCTAAACATTGTTTTATGGCAACGAAAACATGACTAGGATCCGCCTGCTGTTTTGACCTGTGCCGGGGAAAACGATGGCCAGTTTTCCTGAAACACGTATCAGTGCTTCCTGGGAGAGTGCCTCCCACCCTGGACAGTGTCAACACGGTCCTGGGAGAGTGCCTCCCACCCTGGACAGTGTCAACACGGTCCTGGGAGAGTGCCTCCCACCCTGGACAGTGTCAACACGGTCCTGGGAGAGTGCCTCCCACCCTGGACAGTGTCAACACGGTCCTGGGGGAGTGCCTCCCACCCTGGACAGTGTCAACACGGTCCTGGGAGAGTGCCTCCCACCCTGGACAGTGTCAACACGGTCCTGGGAGAGTGCCTCCCACCCTGGACAGTGTCAACACGGTCCTGGGAGAGTGCCTCCCACCCTGGACAGTGTCAACACGGTCCTGGGGGAGTGCCTCCCACCCTGGACAGTGTCAACACGGTCCTGGGAGAGTGCCTCCCACCCTGGACAGTGTCAACACGGTCCTGGGAGAGTGCCTCCCACCCTGGACAGTGTCAACACGGTCCTGGGAGAGTGCCTCCCACCCTGGACAGTGTCAACACGGTCCTGGGGGAGTGCCTCCCACCCTGGACAGTGTCAACACGGTCCTGGGAGAGTGTCTCCCACCCTGGACAGTGTCAACACGGTCCTGGGAGAGTGCCTCCCACCCTGGACAGTGTCAACACGGTCCTGGGGGAGTGCCTCCCACCCTGGACAGTGTCAACACGGTCCTGGGAGAGTGCCTCCCACCCTGGACAGTGTCAACACGGTCCTGGGGGAGTGCCTCCCACCCTGGACAGTGTCAACACGGTCCTGGGAGAGTGCCTCCCACCCTGGACAGTGTCAACACGGTCCTGGGGGAGTGCCTCCCACCCTGGACAGTGTCAACACGGTCCTGGGAGAGTGCCTCCCACCCTGGACAGTGTCAACACGGTCCTGGGAGAGTGCCTCCCACCCTGGACAGTGTCAACTCGGTCCTGGGGGAGTGCCTCCCACCCTGGACAGTGTCAACACGGTCCTGGGGGAGTGCCTCCCACCCTGGACAGTGTCAACACGGTCCTGGGGGAGTGCCTCCCACCCTGGACAGTGTCAACACGGTCCTGGGAGAGTGCCTCCCACCCTGGACAGTGTCAACACGGTCCTGGGGGAGTGCCTACCACTGTAGGACCACAACACCACCGTAGCACCACAACACCACCGTAGCACCACAACACCACCGTAGCACCACAACACCACCATAGCACCACAACACCACCGTAGCACCACAACACCACCGTAGCACCACAACACCACCATAGCACCACAACACCACCGTAGCACCACAACACCACCACAACACCACCGTAGCACCACAACACCACCATAGCACCACAACACCATCGTAGCACCACAACACCACCACAACACCACCGTAGCACCACAACACCACCGTAGCACCACAACACCACCGTAGCACCACAACACCACCGTAGCACCACAACACCACCGTAGCACCACAACACCACCACAACACCACCGTAGCACCACAACACCACCATAGCACCACAACACCATCGTAGCACCACAACACCACCACAACACCACCGTAGCACCACAACACCACCGTAGCACCACAACACCACCGTAGCACCACAACACCACCGTAGCACCACAACACCACCGTAGCACCACAACACCACCATAGCACCACAACACCACCGTAGCACCACAACACCACCGTAGCACCACAACACCACCGTAGCACCACAACACCACCGTAGCACCACAACACCACCGTAGCACCACAACACCACCGTAGCACCACAACACCACCGTAGCACCACAACACCACCATAGCACCACAACACCACCGTAGCACCACAACACCACCGTAGCACCACAACACCACCATAGCACCACAACACCACCGTAACACCACCGTAGCACCACAACACCACCATAGCACCACAACACCACCGTAGCACCACAACACCACCGTAGCACCACAACACCACCATAGCACCACAACACCATCGTAGCACCACAACACCACCACAACACCACCGTAGCACCACAACACCACCGTAGCACCACAACACCACCGTAGCACCACAACACCACCACAACACCACCGTAGCACCACAACACCACCATAGCACCACAACACCATCGTAGCACCACAACACCACCACAACACCACCGTAGCACCACAACACCACCGTAGCACCACAACACCACCGTAGCACCACAACACCACCGTAGCACCACAACACCACCGTAGCACCACAACACCACCATAGCACCACAACACCACCGTAGCACCACAACACCACCGTAGCACCACAACACCACCGTAGCACCACAACACCACCATAGCACCACAACACCACCGTAGCACCACAACACCACCGTAGCACCACAACACCACCATAGCACCACAACACCACCGTAGCACCACAACACCACCGTAGCACCACAACACCACCATAGCACCACAACACCACCGTAGCACCACAACACCACCGTAGCACCACAACACCACCATAGCACCACAACACCACCACAACACCACCGTAGCACCACAACACCACCGTAGCACCACAACACCACCATAGCACCACCACACCACCGTAGCACCACAACACCACCATAGCACCACAACATCACCGTAGCACCACACGACTTCCAACAGGCAGAACAACAAAAGCAGTTGTGACGTTTTGCCGGAAGTTGAAGCCAGAGTTATTACTAATCTTGGCATGGCAGACATTTTCTCCCTGCTGCCCGCGGTAACACGGGCCGGAAGGAAGCTGGAGGGGAAACTAGGGGGGGGGGGGGAATTATCTAAGGTTTCAGGGAAATTTTGCCGGGAAATGACACGGACACATTGTATAAACTGTGGTTGTGTTGTTGGGGCGGGGATGGTTGCCTGGTGGTGAGGGGTTGTGGGGTTGTGGGGGAGGCCGAGATTGTGGAGGTAACCAGTATTACCATTAAGACATTAAGTTATATATTTAGGAAGTTCTCATTTATATATTCAAAGTGTATGAACAGATTTAGAAAACATCTTGAAGATCAACGGGATATTTGATGTTTAAATGTTGTTATGAAGTAAGGAGAGGATATATATTAGTTTATTTGGTTGTTTATGATGAATGTTGTACGTGATGACAAGGGTTATGATGTGATGGATTGTATTCATGTAATTATACATCTATGCCCCCCCTGGTGTTGTTGTTTCCCTCCCCCCCCTGACCTATACAAGTCCCCCCCCTTGACCTACACAAGTCCCCCCCCCCATGCCCCTGGTGTGGTGGTGTCTGTAACAATATTTTCAGTCAATAGGAAAATTTACAAATTATTGTATTTTAAGGCAAAGTATTTTAAATGGGATACTTTAGGACGAATATATTAAGTGTCCCGGCCGTGTCTTGACCATATACCAGGGCACGGCGGGGCAGTGTCCCGGCCGACAGTGTAACACTGTACACACGGAGGAACCATTACACATTGTGACCGTTTGTGAATCAGGACTTAAGATGCTTAAATTTTAAATATAAATCACAATAAATATATCCCGACCACCTGAAGAGCATTGATGACAATTACAACTATTAAAAACTAATAATGACGATGAAAATGAAAGCAGCAAACGAGTGTATTAGAGCTTCCATAATTCCCAGCAAAATACTGGAGGAAAAGTTCCAAGTTGGTCGGAGGGGTTGGCAGCCTTGGCTGCGCTCAGATGATGAATACGAGTCAAATGAGAACCCCGCGTCCCTTCTACCGCATCCACCACAAATTAATGGAAATTATTTATGAAATTCCACACAGTTTTGATGCGGCTGAGTAATTCCATTTTTGATTCGGCGAGGGGAAATTAAAAACTAAATAGGTGCCGGATGAAATTAAAGATTGGAAGGTTGTGGGAGGGGGGGGGGTGAGAGGGGGGCGGTGTGCCCCACCATTGTGGAGATGGCGCCGGGGCCCACAAGAAATTGTTGGTAATTTATATATATGTAAATTTTTTTACGTAATTTTTCACCACGTTATTCCAGTTATTTATTTCTGAATTTATTAAACTCACATTTTACTGGCACGCGTTTAATTGATGTTTTATAAATATATACAAATGATCCAAGTTATTATAGGCGCGTATATAGGCAAGGTGTAGGGTGTGGGCTTGTAGGGTGTGGGCTTGTAGGGTGTGGGCTTGTAGGGTGTGGGCTTGTAGGGTGTGGGCTTGTAGGGTGTGGGCTTGAAGGGAGTGGGCTTGTAGGGTGTGGGCTTGTAGGGTGTGGGCTTGTAGGGTGTGGGCTTGTAGGGTGTGGGCTTGAAGGGAGTGGGCTTGTAGGGTGTGGGCTTGTATGGTGTGGGCTTGTAGGGTGTGGGCTTGTAGGGTGTGGGCTTGAAGGGAGTGGGCTTGTAGGGTGTGGGCTTGTAGGGTGTGGGCTTGTAGGGTGTGGGCTTGTAGGGTGTGGGCTTGTAGGGTGTGGGCTTGTAGGGTGTGGGCTTGAAGGGAGTGGGCTTGTAGGGTGTGGGCTTGTAGGGTGTGGGCTTGTAGGGTGTGGGCTTGTAGGGTGTGGGCTTGAAGGGAGTGGGCTTGTAGGGTGTGGGCTTGTAGGGTGTGGGCTTGTAGGGTGTGGGCTTGTAGGGTGTGGGCTTGTAGGGTGTGGGCTTGTAGGGTGTGGGCTTGTAGGGTGTGGGCTTGTAGGGTGTGGGCTTGTAGGGTGTGGGCTTGTAGGGTGTGGGCTTGTAGGGTGTGGGTGTCAGTGGCGGTGTAATGTAACACACAGGTGAGAGAAACTAGTACCAAGCTGAGGCTCTTGAGCTACTTTTTCGTATTTTAATTAACTTATGTTCAAAGCTAATTACTATATAAAAAACACTGTACACCTTGTATGACTGACTTTGAGAGGCACTCACCTCCGAGTAAGCATCCCACAGCACAAATAAGTGATTTATGAAGCGATGTCCGCCTTAATTGTTGACGTCCCCTCAGAGGTCCTCCCACGTGGTGGTCCAAGCTCTTCCCGTCTCATGCCTCTGGTGCCACTGTCTTGCCACAATCCCGTTCTTTTTCAATTTTTTTTCTTATCTAACGTTATAGGAATTCACTATGTTGCGTTATCACTGCGTTGCTGTACCCTTCATATGATCAAAAACTATGTTTTGGGCTCACTGGTACGTAAATATCCCGAGAATATTGAAGTAATTCGCGGACCGCCGTCCTACCCTTGTCGTTCACACCTGAGAGAGAGAGAGAGAGAGAGAGAGAGAGAGAGAGAGAGAGAGAGAGAGAGAGAGAGAGAGAGAGAGAGAGAGAGAGAGAGAGAGAGAGAGAGAGAGAGAGAGAGAGAGAGAGAGAGAGCTCACACCTGAGAGAGAGAGAGAGCTCACACCTGAGAGAGAGAGTGTGTGTGTGTGTGTGTCAACTGTGAATCCGCATAGAGTGATTGACACTTGATTGGATCACACCTGCGTCAGAAGGTTGTTTGTGACACCTGGCTGACACAGAGGACACCTGGCGCCTGACTTTGGGGTCACTTCTGCGTGTTGTGTTGACCTCATACTAAGCGTTGACCAGGGGTATGATTCACGAAGCCGTTACGCAAGCATTTGTGAACCTATACATCTTTTCTCGGTCTTTGGCGGCCTTGTTTACAATTATTAAACAGGTAATGAGCTCCGAAGCACCAAGAGGCTGTTTATAACAATAACAACAGTTGATTGGCAAGTTTTCATGCTTGTAAACTGTTTAATAAATGTTACCAAAGTCGTCAAATATTGAGGAAAGATGTACACGTTCGTAAGTACTTGCGTAACTGCGTCGTAAATTTGGCTTCTGTTCCTGAGCGGTATCCGCATTCTTTACAACGACCACGTTCTGGGATGGTGAACAACCTCCCTCGTGCCTGGCACCATATACCTCAGAACACGGCACCACAGAGAAGCGAGAGGAATTGTTCGGTGGCGTCGACACAGATAACATTGAGGCGCGGTTCCACCAGGTGGGATCTCCAGCCTACACATCGCTCTTCATGGGAACTGTGCCCCACCTCAGGCTCGCCGCCTCCTTACACTATTACTACTGTAGGCACTCACACCGCAGCCCGTCCTCCACCCTGAGCTCAGACCTTCACAACTCGACACTGGGTCGCAGGAAAGCCTGCTTCTGCACCACCTTCAAATTAGTCTCCGGACTGCAACCTCTGGCAGGACGTGGGGTACTTCTAGCTAACCTGACTTGTTAGTTACATTATACTTTACGTTGACTCCACCTGTTGGCTGAGGTCCCTCTCCTCCATCGTCAATGGCGTCCTTCACCTGTTGGCTGAGGTCCCTCTCCTCCATCGTCAATGGCGTCCTTCACCTGTTGGCTGAGGTCCCTCTCCTCCATCGTCGATGGCGTCCTTCACCTGTTGGCTGAGGTCCTTCTCCTCCATCGTCGATGGCGTCCTTCACCTGTTGGCTGAGGTCCCTCTCCTCCATCGTCGATGGCGTCCTACACCAGACTCCACATTTGATTTCCCAAATATTTACATCATTATCTATCTCAAGACTCTAAACTAAGCCCGTCGAGTGTCAGAACCTTCAGATCAACCCTTCCCAGAGCCACCAGGTAGGAACCACAGAAGACAGACTCAGGGAGGGAACATTGAGTGGTGGACGAGAGAGGACAAAGTGGACTCGCCGGAAAGGGCAGATGGTGGGAGTTTTACAGTGTCCTGTGCAACAGTGCTCTAGCACTGTTATGTTATGTACATGTATATATAATTAAGAAATACATTTGATGAAGGTTTTGATATTAATATGGTTTACCCCTTTTCCTTTCACGATTTATTTTTGCAGTCAGTTCTGGATAACTTACCTATGACTGTGGGTGGGATCATGTAAGTAGAGGCACTAATGGGGGGTAGAAATAGCCTAAGCTACTCTATCCCTATGAGATGTATTTTTTCTTGTCTCAATAAACATACTTGAACTTGAACTAAGCCCCATATACAGTGTATCAAGTAAAGAACCCGGTTACTGGCCAAGTGTGGCCGTAATAGTCAACATATCGTAGTATACACACACACACACAACTCTTCTGTCTTCGCTGGAAGACAGAAGAGTTAGGGGGGATATGATCACCACATTCAAGATTCTCAAGGGAATTGATATGGTAGATGAAGACAGTCTATTTAACACAAGGGGCACACGCACTAGGGGACACAGGTGGAAACTGAGTGCCCAAATGAGCCACAGAGATATTAGAAAGAACTATTTTAGTGTCAGAGTGGTTGACAAATGGAATGCATTAGGATATGATGTGGTGGAGGCTGACTCCATACACAGTTTCAAGTGTAGATATGATAGAGCCCAATAGGCTCAGGAACCTGTACACCTGTTGATTGACGGCTGAGAGGCGGGGCCAAAGAGCCAGAGCTCAACCCCCTCAAGCACAATTAGGTGAGTACACACATAATTAGAATGTTCTACTGCCTGAAGTTCTGCATCTTCGTCTTCAGCCGTTTCACAAAAATATTAATTCTAATGCAAATTAAAAACAAATATTATATTTTCCTTGCTGCTGTGATATATGGCTGGTGACCGGTGGTGGACTGATGGTATGTACAGAGATGGTGACTTGTGGTGTCACCATCCACTGGTGGTGGTGGTGATATGATTGGTCTGTCGTCTGGAAGACAAATGGAGAACATTTTACAAGTCCCGTGTATGGGAGGAGGCAGGTGGTGGTGGTGTGAGGGCTGGCAGGTGGTGGTGGTGTGGGGGCTGGCAGGTGGTGGTGGTGGTGTGGGGGCTGGCAGGTGGTGGTGGTGGTGGTGTGGGGGCTGGCAGGTGGTGGTGGTGGTGGTGTGGGGGCTGGCAGGTGGTGGTGGTGGTGGTGTGGGGGCTGGCAGGTGGTGGTGGTGGTGGTGTGGGGGCTGGCAGGTGGTGGTGGTGGTGGTGTGGGGGCTGGCAGGTGGTGGTGGTGGTGGTGTGGGGGCTGGCAGGTGGTGGTGGTGGTGGTGTGGGGGCTGGCAGGTGGTGGTGGTGGTGGTGTGGGGGTGTGGGGGCTGGCAGGTGGTGGTGGTGGTGGTGGTGTGGGGGCGGGCAGGTGGTGGTGGTGGTGTGGGGGCTGGCAGGTGGTGGTGGTGGTGGTGTGGGGGCTGGCAGGTGGTGGTGGTGGTGGTGTGGGGGCTGGCAGGTGGCGGTGCTGGTGGTAGTGTGGGGGCGGGCAGGTGGTGGTAGTGGTGGTGGTGTGGGGGCTGGCAGGTGGCGGTGCTGGTGGTAGTGTGGGGGCGGGCAGGTGGTGGTAGTGGTGGTGGTGTGGGGGCTGGCAGGTGGTGGTAGTGGTGGTGGTGTGGGGGCTGGCAGGTGGTGGTAGTGTGGGGGCGGGCAAGTGGTGGTAGTGGTGGTGGTGTGGGGGCTGGCAGGTGGTGGTAGTGTGGGGGCGGGCAGGTGGTGGTAGTGGTGGTGGTGTGGGGGCGGGCAGGTGGTGGTAGTGGTGGTGGTGTGAGGGCGGGCAGGTGGTGGTGGTGGTGTGGGGGCGGGCAGGTGGTGGTGGTGGTGGTAGTGTGGGGGCGGGCAAGTGGTGGTAGTGGTGGTGGTGTGGGGGCGGGCAGGTGGTGGTAGTGGTGGTGGTGTGGGGGCGGGCAGGTGGTGGCAGTGGTGGTGGTGTGGGGGCGGGCAGGTGGTGGTAGTGGTGGTGGTGTGGGGGCGGGTAGGTGGTGGTGGTGGTGGTGTGGGGGCTGGCAGGTGGTGGTGGTGGTGGTGGTGTGGGGGCTGGCAGGTGGTGGTGGTGGTGTGGGGGCTGGCAGGTGGTGGTGGTGGTGTGGGGGCGGGTAGGTGGTGGTGGTGGTGGTTGGCAGGTGGTGGTGGTGGTGGTGTGGGGGCGGGCAGGTGGTGGTGTGGGGGCGGGCAGGTGGTGGTAGTGTGGGGGCTGGCAGGTGGTGGTGGTGGTGTGGGGGCTGGCAGGTGGTGGTGGTGGTGTGGGGGCTGGCAGGTGGTGGTGGTGGTGGTGTGGGGGCTGGCAGGTGGTGGTGGTGGTGGTGTGGGGGCTGGCAGGTGGTGGTGGTGGTGTGGGGGCTGGCAGGTGGTGGTGGTGGTGGTGTGGGGGCTGGCAGGTGGTGGTGGTGGTGGTGTGGGGGCGGGCAGGTGGTGGTGCTGGTGCTGGTGAGCACCACCTGGCGGTGCTGGGGTCAGTTACCTGCCTGCGGCCTCCTAAACATTCCTAACACATAAAACAACTTTTAGTTAAGTATACATGTTCACAGATATCCATAACAATGAACAGTTCCACATATTATTTTAATTTTTGTATATATGAAGTAAAGTATTTTGTTTTAAATATTTGTAAGAAAACAAAATTTCCAGTAATATAAGCGCGTCCATAAATGTTGATGGCGAGCATGTGGGGCGAGGCAAGTGTTGCTGACTCTAAGCAACACCAATATAATTAGAATTCTATAGAGTGCACAATATGCTAATGCAAAATCTTGTATGCATCATTTTGATTAAATTTTCACGAGCCGGTAACATTACAGCGGAAAATACAACAAACATATAAAGAAAACCGATTGAAATTCGAATCGTTTCCAGTACATTTGGAGTGTCCCATCCCATATCCGGGCTCCGCCGCCGCTGCTTCTGTCGAATTTGATTCCATCTGCGCGAGGTTGAGCGCTGCATTTCAATATTATGCTAAGTTACAGCCATGCTCCTCTCCCTCAATATTCCCAATAGATCCCCTTGACTGGTGGAGTGTCTGAGGGACACGCCCCAGACCCCGCTAGCCCACATGACGTTGACATTACCACTAGGTAACTGTCTGTGCTAGTCAACCCTAATGGACCAGTTTTGGCTGACGATTGTCCAGCTATTAAGGGCTGGGCCATAACCACTGGAATGTGGAGAGGGTCACTGAGCCCGGGTGTATGGGGGGTCGGAGCCAATACTGTAATGGCGTTAAGGTAATGGTGTAATGTAATGGGGGGGGGGGGTCGTTCTGCGCCTACTTGTGTCATTTGTGTTGAATGGTCCGGGAGATTTTGATGGTTGTAATGTCTTTTATGTGTATATTGAGTACACTGTACGGTATTAGCCGTGTACAGGGGAGATGTTAGCGGTGTCCAGGCTCAGTAACTGTCTGTTGGACAACTTTTGGTCCCTGATACAAGCGCCAGGGCCAGAGGAAGTGGACTTGGGGAACATGTGGGTAACATAAGGTCAATTATTTATGTTGTAAATTTGAAAGATATTTTTTCGAAAATAAAACACGAACAAAATTTACTTCTACATATTTCATATCGTTCGGCATGATTCTGCGGCCCCCCCCCCTCACGGGGAGACAGACATGCTTTCACTCTCGCTGTGTCAATTTGTGTCTTGATGTATGGATGGATAGATGGAAGGATTCATTGATAGATGAGTACATGGATGGATAGATGGATAAAATTATGAGTAGGTGGATGGACAGATGGATGGATAGATAGATGGATGGATTGATGGTTCATTTTGTACACTTGAGGCTGTGATCATTCGGGAGCTGACACCAGTCATCAACATCCAGATGAATTCGACTCCGAGCATACAGCTGTTCAATGGTCCTCCATTGACCCAGGGGGAAGATGTAAGACCTGGCGGACAGCTAGAAGCCGGAGTCAGACAACAATCACTTCACTCTATCCTTCGCCGCTCCCTACGATTAAGATGGTTAAGTGAATCGTAGAGTGAGATGTACCCACACTTATAAATGTTTAGATTTTTTCCTTTTTAGCCGATTACGGGCTCACCATAGCCCGTGCTACATGGACATTTCGTTCTGAGTAGCTAAATCTAAAACAACAACATCCTTGTAAGATCACGGGCTATTCATGCCCGTGCCACCTCTTGGGTGGCTTAATCTTTATCAATCAATCAATCCTTATAAGAGAGATTACGGGCTCACCATAGCCCATGCTACATGGACATTTCATTCTGAATAGCTAAAGCTAAAACAACAAACAACATCCTTGTTAGAGCGAGAGACAGCCCAGCTCCTGTGCCAGGTCAGTCCACTACGGGCTCACCATAGCCCGTGCTACTTGGAACGTTTTGTTCCCAGTAGCTTTATCCTAAACAACAACATCCCTGTAAGAGTAAACAGGGAAAAAAGGAGGAAACCCCACCTTCATTTAAAACTTTGACCCAAATATCAGAGTAACAAGGTTATCGCGAATAACTGAACTCAGCTCACCATAGCCCGTTCTTATGTTGTGGGTCGTAATAATATTAATATGTTGTTGTGGGTCGATAGATTGTCTCTTCTGGACAACCCACTAAACCAAAATCTCTGTAGAGAGCTTACACTTTAATCAGATCACCCT